TAGGAAGTAATGTGTCGTATGAGCGTTTAACCTCCAGCGCTCCAGCTGTGTGAGTCTGTTTTGATCGGTCGGGACCTGAAAGCTCGATTCACCGGCCACACGAACCGCTTTTAAAGAGGTCGAGTGGAGGCGTAGACATTGCACTTGAATTCAAGCTCCGATGAGAGAATTTAAAAATATGTCGTGAAGTGGCGATACAGCCCACTGCAGCGTATTTATGCATGCATGTCTCATTTTGTCATGCGGTGCGCAGAAACAACTTCTGAGATGTTAATCATACCCAGAATAAATAATGTGTCACTCGCCCAGTGTATCGCTAGATTGTGCGAGCGATTTGTCCCCTGTACGGGAGGACTCCCATCATACAACTTCTAACCCTGTGGCAGTCATAACACGGAAACCCGCTTAATGTGTAACTTTTGAGTCACTGTTTTGGAATCACCATAGATAAGCAAACAAATAAATGATGTTTTGCCACCTTTGTTTGTTCTATAAATGACACAGCATCTTAGTTTATCCGAGGACCTCACTGAAGGCAACCACAAACCTTGTTAAGTGAGGTAGATTGATGGCATTGAATACTTTTTTACTTGAATTGCAGATAATTATCTCCATTAGCAATGCTGGTTCTAATCTTGGGTAGACAAAACTACATATATGGGGAAAATATTGTATTTGACAATGAGGGTGTAGAGAGCTCATAAGCACACCGCTCAGATCACTTATTATGGAAGGCTCATGCATTCCAACAGATTTAAAGCGCATACAGTGGCGATATCATTCAAATCATTCATCAATCCAAGCATAGCCATGCTTCATATTTATTCAGTTTTTTTGTGTGTTTTACAACAGCTCAAGCGACTTGGCGCTACCGTTGCCAACTGCCAAGTACACTGGAGACCGTAATGAGGGTGTAAACCTCAAGAATATCCATTGAAGAGTACTTCATAGGCATTTCTAAAATCAGATATCACTCTGAATTACTTGATGGTCTGTAAGTATAACTTACACAGTTACAGTTGGTCTGGAAGTGCATCTTAATAATCTTAATAATAACCTTTTCACTATTATATTTGTCTCCCTAACCATCACTTTTTCCCCATTTAAAAGTAATAACTCATTTAGAGTAAGTTTCAAGTTTCAGGAACTTCTGCCAGAAAGCTACTGAAAAATAAATCACTCTTGTTTTTGAAGTAGAATTTAGACCACAGTTCTCCAAAAAGCTCCAATGATCTGGTGTCTGAAAACACACCTCACAGTAGGAAAATGTGTGGAAATGGTTTCGTCAAGGGGGTGTCGCTGAGCTCTTCAGTTTTTGAACGGCATCGGATAGCTATGCAGCACAAATCATGAGGTTTCAGTGATTATACAGTAACAATAACATTAGAGAATTTCAAAGTTTTTAAAGAGAATCCAATCTATTTAAAAACAACCAGCAACACAGACGTGAAAACATTAAATTCAGCGCAATCTGCTTTCCCCGTGTGAAGGCCAGTAGCCCTTCTGTTACACAGTAAATCATGTTTTTAATTCGCCTGTTCACCTCATACAATGGGTCCGTTTGTTTAAAAAGCACAAAGACGCTTTCTGGAATGCTAGATCACTTCAGTGAGACCTACAGCCATCAAGGTCCTCAAGATTTAAAAAAAAACATAAGGGGGTAATTGAATAATATCCATGATAGTTTAGACCTCTTTCAAAAATATAACATTCTCACTTCAACTTCGGAGCAATAGTGCCGTTAATGGCAGACTGCCTGCCCCTCACAGAAGACCTCTGAAAATGCCTCATGGAGCAGGAGTTGAAGGGTCTCGGGTTTGTGCAATTAATCGACAGGGTTTAAGCGACAAGCGAGAAGACCTGCATTTAGCTCATGCTCGCTGTAAACTGCACAAGCACATAATGACGGTACCTTGAAATCCGGAACGATCTGCTTGATTTTGAATGAGGTCTTGGATGCCGTTAGCATAATGCCTCTTCTCTCTAGCGCTTTTTAGACCTGGAATCAAGACGGTCTGCTTTGCCAGCCGTTCGCACTCAAGGAAGGGAAATTCAGGACGTGTTTTTAGTCCGCTCCATGCTATCCGGGAACGTCCAAGTTGGTCACTTCGTGTCAAGAGCGGACACATCACTTGAACACCTCGGTCGTGCCTTCTCTCTTTCACGCAAGACTGCATCCATTTCGCAGTTTCCCCGTTATCCCGCTGGCGAATTTTTAGATAAGGAAAAAGCCGCAGTTTGTCGAATAACAACGGTTACTCCATCCCTCGTCGACACGCCGCGAAGCAATGTGCTGTGAAGCACAGAATAAGGCATATGATGAACCTTCTCCAGCTCCGACTGCTCTGGTTGTGTTTACCTCCTCGCCATAGTGAAACTGACACTCTATTTCTAACGGAGCAGAAGACAGACAATTCTGGCTCCGCGTCTTAAAGGGCCAGCAGGTCTGTTTCTTCTTCTAAGAAAACTACAAATCCTTGCCCCCAGGGTTAAACGTTTGCCTCGCAAACCGCTACACTTCTTGAACGCGATTCCTCCTGGAGTTTATGAGCTATCTCTAAAGAATGTATGTATTGTAGAGCTCACTCTCACACACATAAGCCGTTTGGCTCCGAATACACATAGATTGTTAACCTACCAATTCGTGAAATTGAAAGACAAGTTTAGGGTTTTAGAGTGCGAGTCTGAAGAATATAAAACACAGAATAAGAGAAAATAACAAGTTTGTATTGGACGTTAAGTCGCTGTTATAAACTTTGTAAGTGCCTGGCACGTTCTTATTTGCTGTTTTAATATTGAATCACATATGCATGTATTAAAATATTTCTGGAATGACGAGATCAAAGAAACCAGATCAAAGCCCAAAGAAGAGATCAGCTGCCTTTCGAGCTAAACAGAATACAACCTGCAGTTAAGTCTCTCTGTAAACCTGGTTTCTACAAAATGAATGGGAGCCTATTTCCCTATTTCAAAGATGCATTTTCTAACCAGAAGAGGCTGTTTTTAAACCAAGGGATTCTTTACTTAGGAAATCAAAGTTCCCAACTTACAAAATAGCAAGCTCTCTTAACAAGGTTCAGATGCTTCGCTCCAGTCAGAGGATGTGAAGAAGCAGATCTCTCCTTCAGTATTTTTTCCCTTTTCTCCTCCCTCTCTTTCTCTCCTTGTCTCCCTTTTTGGCTTCCTGTTTTATACACTGTTCCTGGACAGTTAATTGACAGTTAATAAATTACCCAGAATTTAATTAACTAAGGCAAGGCGAGGTAAATGTTAAAATTGCTTTGATCACTGAAGCTGGGACCCCTACATCTCAGCAGACATCCCCTTGCTCTGAAGCTGGACATGTTGACACTAGCCAGGTGTTCGCCATTGTATCTAGATTCACTTCAGAACAATCAGAAAGACTACAGGAGAAGGCATCATTGAGCCCATCTTGCTAGCTGCCTGACCAGCAGTGAGTGTGTGTGTGTGTCTGTGTGTGAGAGTGTGAGAATTCTGATGATTTGCTGGATAGGGACTAATGGGACAGGAAAGAACAAAAAAGCCTTAGATACCACATTGAAAAAGAAAATAGCTGCAGTAAGGATCAAATTCATTAGGATGTCGAATTCGATTAACCCGTTTTGTAACAACAACAAACTAAGCTGTTTATAGGAAAGATCTTCTTTCACTTTCTGCCTCACTACTCTGTCACTAGTATATGATCCAATCCCTGGTTTATTTTTGAAATCTGTAGAACTCCACGTTTCTAACACAACCAGAAGAACTCCAGCCAGACCTCCCTGTCCTATACTAGCACTAAAAAGTTGTAAACTCACTTCCTTCTCAGCTCATGACGAAGTTGTGTCAAGCTTCTTTTCTCTTCTAGGCAAAATTCACTTCATTTAATTGTCTGTAACTGGTTGCCACTGCTGTCCAAAACAGTAATTGAAGGTCTTGCAGTTTTAATTATCTGTTTTTCTAAAACCCTGGCAAATAATGCTGTCCACAGGGTGGGGTTTGTTGCACAGTACCCTGCAAACATGTCATTAAAGTTGTCTGTGCCTCCAAGATTGCTTTTTAAAATCCAGAAGTCTCCTTAAAAACCGCTGGTTAAAATAGAAAAGAAACCTTTATTTTGGATTTTGATCTTTGTTCTTAAATGTACAAGCCCCACAGCCTGCATACACATCTACAATATGTAGAAACATAGAGTCTACATTACTGTAAGAAAGCATTGTTGCTGTTCAAAACTGTTCTGCAGTGAACTGCCAGTTAAACGTATAGGGGAAGTCCGTATTCATTCAGTCAAACAGTACTGGGCTAAAAAAAACTTCACAGGTCGTTGGGCAGCAGTTGTGAAGATTTCACCTTTTTATCTGTTCAGTAACGCACAAGATACTGCACCTTTCCTCGAATTTCTCATTCAAGGCAGCAAGCAGTCTCCAGACATGCTGTACGCACTGTGCAGTAGAGATCCACTCCATTACGCCTACATCAGTAGCTGTTGTCTGGTCCCAGAGAATTCAAGGTCTCACCTTTTTAATATATTCATTTATACAGCTATTGACCTTAATCCTCTAGATAAATGTCCCAATTGTCCCTTATATGTAGCATTGAAAAATGAGGGTATACACATGAATGCATTAAAGTATGGTAGGAATTGGTCAATGACCTAGTGTGTCAGCCGATAGACTTGGATTAAGAATTATTTAATTCAATAAAATGAAAAGAGGGTATCATTTCTAAAAAGAAAAGAGGGTATAGATCATGATTACATGCTCAAATTCACTGGTAAATTGTAAGGGCTTTGTGCATTCACGGGGCTCAAAGAAATGTCTGATACTGACTGGCAAAAGAAACTAATTTTCTAATGAAAAAACTACCATATATTGGTGAAATTAACCAAATGGATCTCTTCAGAACCCAATACTGAATCAGGAGCCAGAAAGCACGAATGGAAATTGAGCTCTCAGTCCCTCAGAGGCTGGCCACATTCGCACGAGGAGCTCGACACTGCCCAGGGCTACATGCACCAGATGTTTGACCAGATGTGGTGGGACATAATAATAATCATAATAATAATCATAATAATAATAATAATAATTGCTTACACTTATATAGCGCTTTTCTGGACACTCCACTCAAAGCGCTTTACAGGTAATGGGGATCCCCTCCACCACCACCA